GAAGGCTGGAGCTCCCGCCGCATCACAAGGAACCACGTGCCGCGCTGTGCCGGGAGGGCACAACCCCACACTCAGCACGCACTTGTGCTGGTGGCTTCAGGGTCAAGGCCAAGGCTGCTGAGAGCAAAGAGCTCTGCAGAGGAGACTGATTAAAGCCCCATTGTAGAGACACAGTGTGAAAACACCAAGTCCTTTTGGAGGGAGAGACAAAATAGAAGGCCTAGCACGAAGGCCATTTAAAACAATACAGTGTAATCAAGCAGCTATGTGACAGGACACACGAAAATCTCAGCTGGACAAGAAAAATGGAACTCATTTTCTCCCTAGTACAAAAATCCGTGACTAACGTCCAGCTGGAAACACCCAGAGAGATTTAAGGACACTAATAACCAAAGATGGTGTCTGCGTTTATGGGACAGAAACCAACTGCATGCCCTGAGCAAAAAGCTGGAGCTCAGGTGGCCCCAAGCCCTCGGTGCAATCCCACTGCCCTGGCCCTTGGTGGGCGCTGCCCCGCCTCTTCATACACCCTCCACCCACCCAGGCTCATGGTAAGCCATGTGGCAGTCATTTCCTGTTGAAGACTGGAGTCACACGTGGGTGGGGTGGGTGTCTTACCTTGCCCAGAGCCCATGACCACAGACSCCAATCATCCTGGCTCCTTCTGCCCCAGAGGGCTGTTCCCCAGACCCAGGGTGTGCCGCCTCCTATGGAAAGCCAGTCCCTCCCCTGGACTTGCTCCTGTCATCCAGTCGGGTGAGACCATGGCTGGGAGAGCCCTCTGCACTTGGCAGCTCACCTCCTACAAGGAGGCCTTCATGTATGCATGGCTCCACTTCACACTCCACAGTGTGCTCTGAGTCCAGGCACCATGTGACCAGCCATCCATCCTGGGAGCTGGTGACAGTCTTGCACCTGTCCAGGGCTCACAGCCAGCCCCCACTGTTCCAGAGGCTTAGCTTCAGCCTTGCCAGAACCCAGAAACGGGTCCAAACAAGTGTTCTCATCAATTCTCCTTTTTTTTTTTAACCTAATAGACACTGACATCAAAACAACTGCCCAAAACATGTTGGGCTTTTAGTCAATAACCARGGACCCATTTTTTTCTTTAAAGTTTTCCTGCTCCCATGGGGTTTATCTTTTCTCTGGGAGAAAGACCTCTTCAGCCCTTTTATTCCTTGACCTGAGACACAGTAATAGACCMGATTAAATTCTTTCTCAAACTGTATTTGAAAGGGACTTTAAAACAAATGTCCATCCTTTAAAAATACTTTATTGGGTCCCTATTTCCCTGGGAATCAATATAAAAGGATATGTTTATTTGTTTTTCTGGAATATATTGTTAAGAGATTTTATTTCATAAGCTTCATCAACCCTTTGAAGTATTTATATAGTTGAAAGAAAGACATGAGGCCTAGGATCTGGCAGGGAGCCGGCCGCTGTAAGAGTTCAAAGGCTGTGAACCACATCAAAACTCCCCAGTGGGACACCTGGACRGGCAGACCTTGATGGGTAAGATGTGGGGAGCAGCAGCCAGAATCGAGAGAAGAAAAGGAGGCTGGCTTGGTAATCCCCAAACTAGGGATCTCCCAGCCCACATCCGGCAGCAGCCCCCCCCCCCCCCCGCCCGTCACACACCTGCATCTGCTGAGAATCAGCAACATGTCACCCACCCCTATTGCCTTGGGTGTGGCTGATCTAAAATCCCAACACCTAGAATACTGATTATCCCCCATGCTTCTTTCGTGGGGAAAACAAACAAACAAACTGCAAATGACAAAATAATGAGAAGTTAACCCTCCAAAACAGATCTTTGATATATCTGGGGTCTGTCCCTAAAATTCACAGCATGCTGACCACACCCACCAGCCTGCTCTCACTCCGTGTAGAGCTGGCTTTCAGAGCAGAGAGAAACGTGGAACAGGGCGGGCGGCTCCAGCCTTGGATCCATCAGCACACTGTCGGTACCCTTTCTGGGCCAATGGCAGGCAGGGTGAAATGTGGTCACTGCCTTAGAGCTGGGAGAGGCTCAGGGGTGGCCTGGAGCAGCCCTGGCCACTGAGGTCAGAACAGCCAGCTCTGAGGGGCCGTCCACGGCTGAGTGCTGAAGGCTCAGGTCTGGACTCTGCTCTTAAGTTGGTTCCATACGCCTTTTCCTGCATCATGCTGCTTGTTAGAGTTGTCGGTTTGGTTCACTTTTGCACTGCCTCCCACCCACCCCAGTTTAATTCAGGCCACAAGCTCAGCTTAACGAGCACGGCGAGTTGCATTTCTGCCTCGTGGATCACTAACACTGGTGTTGACAGTGCAGGTTGAAGAATGGATTCATTCACAGAGCACAGGTAAGTGATAGCATTATGAGATGAAATACTTAATTGTGCAAACTTCACATCATAGTTCAGATTATCATGCAAAAGATAGAATTATCTAACACATCACATCGTATTGATTTGGATGTATATGGCTGGCATATAGATCCAAATCAAACTGGATGGCATACAAAAGGCAGGATCCATCTATTAATATGGATTTGGGCTTTGTTCATTTATCCATTTAAACCTCACTGGTTTTTAACATGTGCATTGCCCAGTGTCAAGTGTTTTGGGGACCAATAACTGCAATTTACTGGGTGATGGCTGCAGGCCTTGACCTTTTATGTACCACTGTTCCTCTTACAACAGCCTTCCAGAGCAGGGATGAACAGTCCCACTATGGAGAAGACAACAGTGGGGTGTGAATGTTGAGTCACTTAGCCAAGGTCATGGCAGAGCCAGGATTTGAATTCATGCCTGAACCCAAAGTGCAAGCTTGGAGACACACCCTCCATGACTGCTGTTGACGAACTGTTGGGACAAGCCACCAAGCAATCAAAATAGGGTCCAGTAAGTACTTTAGGATAGGCACAAGTATCCTTCTGTGGAAACMAGAGGAAGAGAGATCACTCTTGGAGGGACCAGGAAGGCTTTATAGAGACTGAGACATTTGAGGTGGGCCTTGAATATGGGTCGGAGTTCTTATATGAGAAAAAGGGAGAGCAGGAGCTCTCAGAGCAGGAGGCTGAGCAGCCTTGTCTCCTGGGATCTGGAAAGTAGGGGGCTTCAGACAGGGACGAGAAACACATTTTCCCAATGGAAATCATGCCTTCACCTCTGCCATCACTCCTGCAGCTGCTGCAGCCCCTCAAAGGAGGGTCACCCCTAGGACTCAGAGCTTGGGACCTTCTCCAGGCTTCCCTGGATGTGGAGCTGCTGAACCCGGTGCATGCTTGCCAGGTGTTCCTCCACAGAGGGAGAGGCAGGTTCTGCACCTGGCCGTACYGACCACACTCCTTTTGAGCCTACTCTCACTTTGTCCCTCTTTGCCTCTCTGGGCGACATCACACACAGCAACCCCTCATTCACCTGCCACAGCTGATTTGGCCAGGGATGAGGGGGACTCTATTATCAAATCTAAGACCRTTTAGACCCTTCCAACCACCAACTWGCAAATACCTGGTCTTTTTYGATCAAGTCCAGGTCYAGCTGTGTGCACACATGGGAAGTCTRTTGGGTGGGGTGGGACAGTGCAGATTCTCGGGCATCATCCTAACCAACAAAGATCTGGGCCCTGAAATTGGTCAGGAGCAAGCAAGGGCTGGGTGCTGCTTCAGACCTTCTGACTGGCAGCACACTCCCCACCCCTTGGTACTGCTCCATGCCACCACCTGGCCTTCTGCTCCCCACAAGCTTAGAGCCTGTACTCAGAAGCCCAGCCCCCGCCCTATTCATGCTCCCAGCTCTGCTGATTGGCAGAGGCTGAGTGGCCCTGGTGTTCAGAGCCTGCATCGCCACCTACACCCGACCCTGTCATGCTTTTTGCCGAGTCCCCAGTTTTGGAAAGACAGCCCCCCCCCACACACACAAATATAGTTTAAATGGCATTGGTCTATATTTTGCAAGAGAACTTCATTCACCCCTGCAAAACCTTCCAGGTACCCTGGGTCAAGGGCACCTGGGTCAAGGGCAGAGCTGACTGGACAGACACAATAATTTCTAGAAACATGATCCTTCTTTGCCAATTTCCCTTCAACTCAGCCACACACTCTTGACTACAACACAAGCTTGGGGCCATATTCTTTCCCCGAGTTTCTTGGATTGAAGCTCTGTTAGAGAGGTCCTAAGTCAAGACAAAGCAGTGTGCAATTCTGCAGGTGTCACTGTCTAACCTTTGTAGAAGGATTTATCATGCCTGGAAGGAATTTAGGTCAGGTCTGACCAGGTCTCTGGTCTTGGCTCTGCCCCACCATCCTGTGGGTTGCCCAGCCTTCCCCAGATGGTCTCCAGGATCACTGCGGGATTGGCATCACTGACCCCTGGCTCTAGGAGCTCTGTCAGGTCACCCATGGACATTGCAAACACTGGTAGTCCGGCCTTGACCACCTGCCAGGGTCTCCCACCGGGTCTCTGAGCCCCCCCCCTTCACCCTACTCTGCCCCCTCCCTAAAAAGGCACTGGAAGACCAGCCCAGCCCCGGGAAGCATCCTTTCAGCGCCCCCAGCCCCRCCAGGACTTGTGGCAACTCAGTCACTTTCTGGAAAGGCTCCAATCTCAACCCTGTGCGCGCAGCCCTCAGCACACCCGCTGGCACCCCTCTTATGTCGACTGCGTTCACACGCGTCGCCCTGTCACAGCTCCCCTCGCGCTGTCGCCACCCTCAGACTCACACGCTCTGCTTCAGTTTACCGAGAGGGAGCGCGAGAGCTGCCGATGTGATCGCCAAGTTGGGCTGGGGACTCTGGGGGAGGGGACGCGTCGCAAGCCGGTGGCCGGGGTCGCTTGGTCCCCAGCCGCCAGCACCGGGCGCGCTTCGAGGGCGGCAGGGACCCGGCTCGGACCCAGCACCCCGGCGCGCACGGTCTCCCGCGGCGGCTCCCGAGCGGCGTCCCCGGCCTGCTCGGGCGGCCCGGGGCACACGCCACCGCAGGGGCGCACGGCCACTCTCACGCACCGCGCGCCGCTCACCTCGGGGGGGCCGGTGCTGTCGCGCCGATCGCGCCGCCGCCGCGGCTCCGCATCTCCCGGGCGTCCGCCCGCCGCCCTCCGGGGCGCCCCGCTGTCCCCGCCGGGCGCAAAGGAGAGTCGTGGGGAAGCGTGCAGGCTGCGGGGTCCTGGAGCCGCTCCCGACGCCTCCTGTCGCCCGCCGCCCGCAGCCGAGCAGGAAATTTGTCCGGCCGGGTCCCGCCGCCTCCTCGGCTCCTCGGGCTGCGCTCCGCGGCGGGGGCGGGGGCCCTGGCGCTGCRAGGAGCGGGGGCGACGCCTGGTGCCCGGCGCGAGGAGCGCACCCGGCGGCCGCCGTTCCGGGGCTGCGGCCCCGCCCGCCAGGCAGGGCCCGGGCCATGGAAGCACCCAGGCTCCCAGGACATCCGCCTGCTCAGGCTGGTGCCCCTCAGGGAGCCCCTGGCCCTGCCACTCTAACCCGACCCAGGGGCATATGCGGATAAGACAGGGTGTGACAGGAACTCCTATCAGCGGGAAAGGAAAATCAAGGACCTTCCTGTCCAGCCTAAGCCCTGGGCACCAGGAAGTGGCCTTACGGCTGGTTCAGGGCTCCCGGTAACATTCCTGGTTGGGAGAAGTGAGCAGAGACGTGGGCATGGCACCCTCCTTCCTGAAGAGCCAGTGAGGGTTCCCTTGTGTGGTAGGAGAGGGCTTGGGGGTCACTAAGGCAATTTTTGCAAAATTGAACACCAAGAAGAGCAACACAGAAAAGGTCTGCGCCTGCTGTTTCCAGGGATTTTGTTCCTGGTGATTTCATTTAGGTTTTTTAGAGAGATTTCAGAGAAAAGAAAATTCCATCAGAGGGGCAGAAAGGATACCAAAGCCATGTGCCCATCTCAGTTGTGAACCTCTGTGTCTTGCCCTCCAGGTTGGGCCCAGGCCTGGCCTTCATGAGGGATGCTGTTATCTGTGATAGGGACCTTGCTCCTTAGGGTGTGGATGAGAAAAYGCATGAGGGGATGGGGAGAAAGTGGCATTTAGAGGTGCTTTGTACCCCACCCAGCGTCAATAGCCAGCAGGTAACTCTTGGGACAATTGGGGTCTGTTCAGACATAGCTGCAAACCCAAATACGGGCACCTGCTGGTCAGCACCTCCACATTTGATCTGCCCAGAATGTGACTCCCCTTCTATAAGGTGCAAACAGCTGTGAAGCCAGTGGAGAACCTGAGCTCAGCCTGCCTTCCCTGCCCAGTGCACACCTGTCCTGGAGGCCTGTCAAGCGCTGTAACACCAGCCAAGTGTAGGTAACTCAGAAAAGCCCAGCTTCAGGGACCTTCCTCCCGGCTCAGCTCCTCCAGGCTCTCCTGCCATCTCAGACCTAACTTGCTCTTCCTCTTTAGTGACACCTACTCGACCTTCCTCTCCATGGTTGCCTTGGAGCCATCTCCAAGTTACTTGTCCCCTCTCTCTTCTCACTGCCTTCGCCTCTCCTATAACTGCAGTGCTCCCGCAACTTCAGACCCATGATTAAAAGTCTCATTCAGAATAAAAGCTGACTGCAGGGAGGCGCTGCCTGGACTGCCCCTGCTCCAACCACTCTCCTTTCCTACCCAAGCCAGCTTCTTCTTGCCTGGGGCCTCTTCCCTTCTTGGCACCCTCTTACCAGTTGCTCTCTGAAGATGGCCACACCCCTTCTCTCTACCTCAGTCCTTATCATAATTTGGGGTTATTTTTAGGTTTATCTGCTCATTCTTTCTTCCCTGTCCCCGAGGCTGAAGGCTGCAGCAGCTGGGGCTGTGCCTGTCTCCATCCTCTACCCACCTTGGCTCTTCACACACCCCACAGCCTGGAAGAGCTCAGGGAGTGTATGTGGGCTGGGAGAGCAGAGGGAGCCTCAGTAGGCCACCTTGTCACCCCACCCCTCCCGAGCCTGTTCTCAAGGAACAGCCCAGGTTGGGTGGGGCCAAGTGGCCCAGTGACATCATCCAGCTCTGAATTTTCCTGCTGCTACAGTTGCTGCAGAGCCAGGCTTCGGTACAAGAAGGCAATAATTTCAAAGCCTGATAAGCACAGTTATGCTTGTTAACACTGCAGGGCTGGGGAGGCTGAGGCTGTGATCCAGGGAGAGCGAAGTGTGCTGCCTTCCTGAGACATCTGCCATTGGAGGGAACAGCCTTGGGAGCAGGAGGAGGAGGCAGATGGTTCTTCTCTTCTGGTAATAGCCTCCCTGTTGGACCCCAAAGAGCCTTCTAGGAATGAAGCAATGTTCCTTAATGTCTCTAATGTCAACAGACATCGTGACATGCAGATGTGTCACAGAGACTTAGGGTCTTATGGGTCCTGGAATGGAAGCCCTTGGACTCTTCTTGGCCATCTTCATTTCTCTTTGCCTCAAGGTCTTTGCTGCTTCAAAGTCAATTCCCCCAGGCCCATCCTCGGCACCAAGGCCTCTTGCCATCCCGAACACCTAGTCACCTTCATCCTTTAGGACCTGGGACACAGCCCTCTCCAGCCCATGGCTTCTGCCTGTCAGAGCCCACCTGGGGCTTTCCTGATGCAGTTCCCATGTCCACGCCCCCGACTCCTTCCCACACCCAGCTGTCCTCCCTGTTAGATACCACCCCAGGTGGCTGTGGCTGTCACATCACCGGGAGGTACACCTTTTCCTCCACTGGACTGAGGACTGGGCCCTTGGATTTCTCTGCAGTGACTTGACAGTATTCATCGAGCTTCAAGGGCTCAGCTGGAATTCCAGGGTTGAGGCCAGAAGTGCTGTCTAGAAGTGGTGAGCAGGAGAGTCAGAAGCAACATGTGTGAATCCGGGAAGGATTTGCTCTTAAACAGTGTACAGAAAGCAACAAAACATTCACCATTTTAGGAGGAAAAAATCAGGTGTGATGATTGGCTGCAGGACAGGGTGAGCAAGGACACTCTGAGGCAGGATTTCTTTTGGGACCTGTCCCCACAGAGGTGGCAATCAGGATGGTTATTTTGATCCTTGGAATGTACCAGAATGAATCCAACAGATCCAAAACTTTCAATTTTTATATAACTCCAATATTGTTTTCTCCTTGCCTCTGTTTCCAAGTTGTGCACACATACTGACAACTGTTGCCCACTGAAATTGGAAGGACAGGCCCTTTGCCATAAGATTTTTTTACTTTTCCAAAGAAAGGATGGTTGCGCCCTACTGTGGGTCCCCACAATATTTTAATTCTTTTTTTTTTTTTGTCTCAGATTACTTTTCATTAAGGAATACACAATGAACAAAGACAAGTCCACAAACTGGTGACATGGATACCCTACAAAACACGGACACTTCCATTACTCTGGAAAGTTCCCTCGTAACTAGAAAATCCTCCCATTCCCACTCAACACAGCCGTTGTTCTGATGTCTGTCACCACAGGTTATTTCCCCTGATCCAGATCGTCACMGAAGTGTAGCATGTAGTATGTTTTTTYTTGTTTCTTTCATCTTTTGTGAGATCCATCCTTTGTTGTTATATTGGTAGTTCATGTAATACATCTTTTTCCTTTAATTGCTCTTAAAATTTTCTCCCTATTGCTTTCTTATAATTTTTACTGAAATATGTCTTGGTGCAGTTTTCTTTGTGTGTATTCTACTTGGGTTTACTTGGGTTTCTTGATTTAAATTGCAGTTTTCCTTAAATCTAAAGATTTTTCTGCCATGATCTCCTCAGCCCTGTTCCCCTGCCCCTCGGCCACCGCTGGGCTCTAGCTGCAGGGGCAGGGGCTCCTAATACTCCTTGGAGGTCACTGAGGCTTTTGAAAATTGTAGCCTTTTCACCTCTGTGCTTGTTAGTTTGTAGAGTTGCTGTTGCTGTGTATTTGAAGTCACTGATCTTTCCTTCTGCAGAGCTTAACCTTCTTCTGTTCAGTCCATCCAGTGAATTTTTCATCTCAGATATTCTATTTTTAGATCGTAGATTTTTATTTGATTATTTTCAAAATAATTTTTGTTTCCCTGCAGAGGTTTTCCATGTGTATTCTTATATCATCTTTTCCTTTAAATCCTCAAATGGGCTTATAGCAACACCTCTGATTGCTCATTTTAGCATCTGTGTCATCTTTGCATGTGTGTCTACTAAATTTTTGTTTTGTTTTGCAGGAGGGAAGCCCTGGTTATTTTTCTGCTTCTTTGCATCTCTCTCTCTCTCTCTCTCTCTCTCTCTCTCTCTCTCTCTCTCTCTCTCTCTCTCATTGTGTGCAATTTCTTGTGGTTTGCTGAATGTAACATTCTTGAGAGTCTAGACCAGTTTCAATTTCTGTTAGGATGTCTGTAGAAACTGTCACTTGAGGACCGGCATAGCCCCAGTCTCAAGGCACAGTCTCTCTGAGGTCTGGGCTGAATGCCTGAAGTGTTCAGCAGGCCTTTCCACTCTGGCTGATTGGAACTGCTGTGGTTCCAGTGCACTTCGGCCTCTGGAATCTCTAGGAAGCTCAGGGGCCTCAGCAGATGCTCTCCGGCCGGCCTGGGTCTGGTTCTGCTAATGTACAGCCTGGTGTTAGATGGAAGACTCCAGGGGCTTAGGCAACTTCTTGAGCCCCTGTGTGCAGCTACATTCTGCTCTGGTGTCCTGCCTCGCACATTCCAATCCGCAGTAGCCACAAGTTTCCCTCTCAGACTGTCCACTCAGAAACAAAGTGCTCCTGTGTGGAGCTCCTCTGTGCTGCGTTTAGGGAGCGTCCCCAGGCAGAAAGCTGGGCTGAGTGCGACTTCACTCCATGTGTTTTCTTCCAGAGATAGATAGATAGATGACAGAAGGATCAGTTGTATATCCACTCTTCTGTCATGGTTGCAACTGGATTTCCCACCTTTATTTTAAATATGTATTTCACTATTCTATGATAATCTGTGTGTGTTCCTTCCCCAGGGAAATGGCTGAGTCTGGCCATTTTTGCACCTTTGACACCTAACAATCCCCTTAAATGGTGCAGAGTGAATTATTTTTGAATGACTGAATTAATATTATATATTTCATTTATAAAGTAGTAATTTAAATTTCATGTTACACTTGTTCAGAATTGCGATTATTTTATATAGTAAATGTATATGGTTATGTTATTTAAATGGCAGGTAACATTGTATATATGTATATATAATACATGATATATATGTTTAAAGTGTATACACACACACACACATCTTGTAAAGTTGGGAACACATACACATGGCTTAAAATGCAGAAGTTTTAAAAAGCGAAGCAGTGAAAACTTAAGTCTCACTTGCTTCCTTATTTCCCTGCTCTCCTGAGACAATGTTCCTCCAGTTCCTCCTCACCCCTCCTGGAAGGATCCTAGGAATTCACAAATATAAATACATTTGCATTTCCTGCTGCCCACGTTGTGGTATACTGCTATTTCCCTCTACTTAAACTTACACAGGGACATTGGAGCTCTGCACTCTGTGTGTGGATGCCCCCAAATCTGTCTATGTCTGCTTCCATGGCAGACCACTGAGGCTCTCCCAGTTGCTTTCTAACACAAAATGCTATGAGGAGTCGCCTTGTTTGCTGCCATTTCACCCACACAAGCCTGTAAGCAGAAGCAGAATTCCAGCCCTGGGGCAGATTGGAAGTGCCTACCCACGCCATGCCTACCCACGCTGAGGGCAGATCCTTGCTCCCTAGGCCACTCAGGCTCGCCTGCTGGCTGGCTTCTGGAAACACCCTCAGACACACCCCAGTAATGTTTGGCAGGTTCCTGAGTACTTCTTAATCCTGTCAAGGGGATCCTTAAGCTAACCACCACAGCAATCTGGGCAGTGGCATTCATGTGACTGCACTGCTCGGCTGCTCTTAAAACCAGGCCACCAGAGAGCAAAGGGAAGGCTGGCCTCAGACGCTCACACTCATCCATGACAGTCCATGTGAAAAGGCCGTAAAGCAGCCAGAGCAACGTGCAGCAGCCACATGTCACCAGAGAATAAAGGCTGACTTCCTYGTCTGGCTGTGATGGAGGAACCAGGTCCCGAGTCACCTCCCAGTCTTGAAAATTCAGTAAGATGGAAGAAAATAACACAGAATGGTGTCCAGACATTGGCCATGGGTGGTGCAGGGCTGAGAGAGAGGAAGGAAGTGAAGGAGGCGAGCTCAGGAGGGGTTCCAGGCTGCTGTGCAGTGGGGGAAGCAAGCAGACGCGGTGGGCTCTGGAGAGGAGAGGAAGGGACCAGCTGGGAGGAGGCCAAAGTGGCCAGCACAGGTGGTGAGTCCTGGAGAGAGCAGAGCCGCAGCGGGAGGCTCCTGGGAGCAGGGAGGAGCTCGTCTAGCGATCCAGCTGGGGCGTCTGCAGAGTGATGAGCCTCAAAACGAGTGCCCGCTTCACTTCGTTATATGTGCAAAAATCAACTCGAAGCAGGCCTCACTTTAAATRTAAGAGCAAAACTGTAAAACTTCTAGAAAAAAAACCTCAGAAAAACAWCTTTGCCATCTTGGGTTAGGTAAAGATTTCTTAAATATGATGTTTAAAGCATAACCCACACAATGAAAAGATTGGTAAATTAGACTTCACCAAAGGTTTAAAAYTGTGTTCTTCAAAAGATGTTAAAGGACGATTTTTAGAAGATTTTATGTAAAAACCGACAGGACCTGGAAATAGCCATCTTGAGAGGAAAATTTCTGGTCTTTAAATACTTTGATTATTAATGCAAAAAATTAAGGAAATTAAATATTTATTCCAGAAAATTAGAAAAGGAGGAACAAAATGAAGGACAGTGATAGAATAGCAGTAAAACCAAAATGTAATATTAAAAACCAGCAATCCAGAAGATGAAACAGACGTGCAGACAGGAACCGAGAGCACAGCAGAGACAGCCAGCTCAGTACCTTCCTGAGTTCTCAGTTCCACCCTTGCCCTGGGTTCTGGCCCTGATCAAATATACCATTGTGCTCTTAGCCAAATTTGCATTAATTTTTAATATRTAAATAAGCTTAATGATTTCGGCTTTTCAGTAAGTGAAAAGTGTAAGGCTGAAATATTTGATTACATAGACATATTAGACTTGAGTCAGTGTAAAGGTCTATGAATTCTCAAATACATGGCACGATTGAAATGCAAAAAAAGGAGTATATATAAATATGTATGTACATATGAAGATACATACATATGCGATACACAAAACTGACAAAGGTTTACCACAAAATTTTATAGATAAAAAGAAACACCTCTACATAGTAAATAAACCAACACTATAAACAGAAAACTTGCKGCAATAAATACACTTGGAAATAAACACATTAAGATATGTTAGCTGCCCGTGATTTAGAGAACCTTACACATCAAGCTAGTCCTTGTCGCTCGGCTTCTGAAAGAGTAAAGGCTTGGGTGGTGCTTGGTGGCAGGGAGCCTGGAACATGAGGACTCCAGCGCAAAGTGCCGTTGGCCAGGCTTGAAACTAGATCYGACTTTCTACTGTGCGTGCGGTGTGGACCTGGAGGTTCTCCTGAGAACTATCCAGGGAAACACTTGTACATTGTCACTAGCTTGAAGAAGTAAGGGGTGTGGCRCCATCATGGGCAGAGCAGTGAGGAGTGGAAGCCTACTAGCAGTCCCAGAAGGACTGTGTGGGAGCCGTGTGATGGCACCTGGTTTTTGTATTGTGATACCAAATTATTTTTATGCTGGTAGGAGGGCTAGAAGGAAGAAACTTGAAATTCCACTTTACTTCTTAAAACTGTAGTCAAAACAAGTAAAATTCAATGGAAAAAGAAAAAAACAGTTTTCCCCAAACTATGCAACGCTGTGAGGATGTAGCAGTGAAGTGGGCACCCTCGCTGTGTCGGGGAGGGGTGGGCAAATCGGTGCTTTCTCTAACGAGCAGCAAGCAACAGCTTCAGTCCAAATTCATGTATTTTAACTCACTTCCAGAAAAGTAGCTAGGAGATAATTAGAGACGTGGACAAAAATTTATGCCTAGAATCTTCCTGCACTATTCTTTTTCAGTCAAATCGAAACAACATAAATGTCCACAATAGTGGAGTATATGTGTACCTAGCTCCAATAGTGCATTCAACCCATGTGTGCTATGTCTCCTGGTGCTGCTCTTTGGGAGAGCCTGGGGTTCAGTGGTGTGCAGCGTACACGTGCCCACCTCCTACAGCAGTGTCCACCCTCACAGGAAAGACAGTGACCTCACTCCACATGGGGCTGTCCAAGAAAAGTGCAGGATGCCGAGGTGCACAGATGATATTTGCTGTACAACGACAGAATGCCATGGGAAGATAAATGAGAAATATGCTGTGAACTTCTTTTTACCACCTCGAGAAATGGTGTGGGAGTTCCTCCGAGGGCCAGAAGTGACCTTTTAGAGACTATTAACCACTCAGCAGAGAGGACACAAGGGAAAAGCCCTGAGCGAGAGTGTTCTGAGCCGCCTGCACYAGAACACTAAAGCAAAACCTCTCCAGTTATCACTTAAATAGCATGTAGACACCATCAAGTTTGGAAGAGGAAATTGGAAAGGCACACCTCCCTGAGAAGGTGTAAAGGCAAGGAGGTGTGACCCCACAGGACCTTTGACAAAGTCCTACCTAACCTCCTTAGGGTCCCTCTTGGGAACAGGGGTAGGGAGAGATCACTCCCCAGTAAGCACTTCTTGAAGGAGTGGGGCTTTATGCTGGTGGCTGCTGGAGTCCCCAGCACTTTAGGGGTAAAGTGTTGTCTCATTACTTAGGAATTGCAATTCTGTCCTGACAWGGCAGACTGAGCTGACTTCCACGGCATGACGAAGGACTATAAATTAATCGAATGATTGAGGAAGTCCTTGGAGACTGTGCTACCCCTGTTCATGCTGGTTGGCTGCAGCCATGGTAACCTCTTACTCCAGACCAAAGTCCGGGCTCTGCTGAGCTTTATGACCAGGCCCAGGGTTCAAMGTCCAGCAGCACAACCTCCTTGGGGAGAGGGAGGTTTTCTATTCCACAGCAAATCATTGGACTCCATTTCKAACACTGGACTCCAAATGATAAGGTCCGTAAATCTTATAAGCAGATCTTTATTCTTTTACCCTAGGGAAATTATTTCCCTGAAAAAATGCCGACTACACAGAAAACCTTGATGTTCTTGTCTGGCTTTCTCACGAGCCTGGGGTCCGTCATTGTAATCTGCTCGATGCTGGGGACCCAAGCATGGATCACCAGTACAGTTGGCATCACAGACTCCATCTCCAACGGCAGCGTCACCATCACCTATGGTCTTTTTCGTGGTAGGAGCACTCAAGAAATTGATCAAGGACTTACAGAGCCAGACAAAGACTTTGAAGGTAATGATGAGCTAATGTGAATGGTATAGTGAGTGTGAATTAAGATTCATGTCATTCTGTGTTTGGGCCAAGTAACCACTTGAAAACAACTGCCTTGTACGTGCTGGGTGAGGCTGAAGATCAAGCCTCCTTCTTAATTTTGAGAATTCACTGTATTGTTGTTTCTGCTTGCTGGGTTCTGGCTGTGTCTTTCATTGCAACAGTCTGTCATTCTAGCAGTGGCTGTGTGTGGATGGTGCCAAGTTTACTGTTAAGTCAACAATTAAGCAATGATAATACTTCAGTAAATATATATAGGGACACTCTGGTGTTCGATCGCCAGTGGGAACCGCATTTTAACTGAATTGACGATGGGTTTTAAGTTGGGCAACAACCTCTGTCCAGCACTTCCTAAATAACATGATAGGGAAAAAATAAAATGGAAAACATTCCACCTCTGTTCCTACTTCTCAGCTTCGTTTCTTAAACCAATTTGAATTTACATTCTTGTTTTCAAAATATCTTTTGTTGGAAATAACATTTAATTTCTACTGATTCTATTAATGGTGTATTTTATAGGAACCCCTATTTTTTCCTAATTTCTCATATAATAATGCCTTCCTCTCAATAGGTTTAAAATTACATTTGTTGAGAATAATAAGTTGATTTGGCTATTTGACTTTTGAAATTTGATAACTACCATTATGTTTTTAAAATTTTAGAACTACATTTGTAAATTGTATAACACAGAAGAGAACTTCATTTTGAACAGTGATACATACAGTTATTAAAGAGGCATTAGCAGGTATTTTGCAATTATTAACTTTTAGCTTTTAGATATCTGTCATTTTCAACCTTATACAAAGACAGTGTTTAGGTTCTGGCTCTAGTTCGCTTATGACTGTGCGTGTGTGTGTGTGTGTGTGTGTGTGTGTGTGTGTGTTGCTGAGACTCTACCAACTGAGCTATATCCCCAGCCCTGCTTATGACTTTGTTAATGAAGTGATTCCCTTAAGTCCAAAGCAATGTGGTTGTGTGTCCCAGTCACAGGCCTGTCTTCCAGGTATTGTAAAAGTCCCCTCTCCTCTGGCATTCAGCCGCTTCCCAGAGGGAAGTTCAGATGTCAGTAATTCAGTCATATTTTCAGTTATGTGAGTACCATTTTCAAAATGAAAAGGGAAGTAGTTTCTGAATCTCTAGACACATAAAAAAATTGAATAAGAGACAAAATCTACAAATGTTTGGTTTTCATATGATGCCTGTTTGGAACTAGTTGGTTCCAATTTGAGATCAATGATCCCCGTGGAAGCCCTGACTCTTGGCCACTAGGGAGGCCCAGAGGAGACCAAGGCCGGATGGGCCTGGGGCAGAGCCCTGGGAGCCATGTTGGGGGCAGAGTTGGGAGAGTCCCTAAGGGTCAGCGCCCAGTGGGGAGCAGGAAGGGGAATATCTGCTTCTCCTTTGCCTGGCTCTCTTCCACTCTGTCCAGGGGTCTCCAGGAGCCTCCCAGTGTCACTGTCCCCCTGCCACGCTCCAGATGAACTGCCACCCAGTGGGTGAGGGTGCTGCACACTTGCCCTGCTGACATCTGAGGACCCTCACAGCCCAGGGGGTCTTCATCAAAGATGACTGCCTTAATTACGGAAACTTTGACAACTCTCTCAGCTGGGAAGAAGTCTCTAGAAGACCTTCCTTGGTGTTCCACTGCTAACGGTGCCTGGTGCTTCCCAGAGAGCAGCACCACAGTCCCTACGTGAGACGCCATGGCCCCTCCACTGCTTGTCTTGGCTGCCTGGCGCTTATTTCAAATCAGAGGCCAATCAGCAGCAGCAAAATAAAATCTGTATCAACACCGCTGTCCTGCTCTGKGGGCACAGACGTTCCACTGGGGAGGTTAACTTTGTCAGGTTAATGTTAGCTTCTTAGCTAATTCCAGCTCACACTGAAAACCCTTTAGGAATAGTGATTATCACCAAGCTGTGCCACATTTCTGCATAGGATCTGTCAAAGTGTGCCAATTTGAGCTGCAGATTTTGATATTAAAGATGTCTGACTGCAGAGTGCCATAATAATTCAGCCCACAATAGGCAACTGATGAAGAAAATAACCAGTCAGACCAGGAAGGAAGTCCTCCATGGTGTAGCTAGACTGTCTGGGAGGTCAGGTTGACTGGATGTGCCCTAGTTTGCCCAACATCCAGATGAGAAGTGACAGGTCCTTTAAGTGCAGACATGAACAGATCATCTTGCGACTCCAGAACTTCTGGATACCTCATTTCAGTCAAAAGACCTTCCCGAGCATTTGCCATACAGTGAGGCCTGGGATTCAGTCAAAAGACCTCCCCTGAGCAGTTGCCATACAGTGAGGCCTGGGATTCTGACAGGATTTGCACACAGCTCCTGCTGGAAGGGCTCACCACCCAGGGCAGAAGAATTGAACTCAACCAGTTAAGTTCAACACCTGCTCTAACTGCAGGGTTGTGGTGAGTGCAGGTCTCCACAAAAGCAAGGAGTTGGGTGGGGGACATGGCTCTGCAGACTCCTTGGGGACAGAACCCTGAAAACCTGGAGGACAAGAGGACACAGGCTCACACTCATGGTCATGTGCCTTCTCCTGGGTTTGGATCTTGTGTGTTATGCAAACATAAAAAACTTAAAAGAAGTCATTTCTTTGACTTTGGTTTTTGACAATGTCATTAGGGGTCAATGGGTGTGATGTATAATATTTCCTCACCCTGGCAACAATGACAAAGTGAGTCACACATGTAGAACATGGGGTCATTTCAGATGTCACCCAGCCTACATGCCRTCCAGGACATATATTTTTACAGAATCATTTTGACAGAAAAAGCTTTATTCTTGGTCCCAAGAATGGTTTGAGCAGTAGGTATGTGGCACTTTTTGAGCATTTGCATTGCAAGGACACTGAGTCGCTGAGGCTAGAGGTGGAATCACCTGGACGCTGACAAAGAAACCCTGCTTGACGGGGATCTCAGGGAGTCAGTCAGTCCCTGGTCTTCTGGTCTTAAGAATCCTTCCCAGATGCCTAAGACCAAGCAATTCTAAGTCTGGTGATGACCGCAGCCTCGCCATGCCAGATGCTAGGAGGGATGCTTACGTTGCCATGCTGGGCCTTGCTTCAAGCTCCAGTGCTTAAAGTTAAACTAGTTTATTGGGAATAGCTCTAGATGCAACCTTGAAAATGAACCCACATAGGCTGGAAGAAGGCATCAGGGCCCACTGGCCCTCATGCTGCCCTTGAGTCAATGACCAAAGTACACTGTAGGAACGTCACTCCCATCTGGCCTCTCTGCCTGTCAGTCGACCAACACCATTGTTCCCAGGAGATCAACAAAGATAAAAATAACTAGGAATGGGCTGGGGCTGTAGCTCAGTGGTAGAGCGTCCGCCTCGCACGTGAGAGGCACTGGGTCTGATCGTCAGCACCACATAAAAATAAATAAGGATATAAAAAATAATTAGGAAAACAAATATGCGGCAAAAGCTGGTTGATTGCAAAGAGAAGAAGAAATGAAGTCGATGTCTACGGAACACATGCAGACATCTGCCTGCCACCCCACACCCCTGTGCCCTCACACAGGGACACTTCCCTGGAGAAGAGCTACTTGCCATTTGCCCTCAGAAATGTAACCATGCTGAAGCGGGGAGAGGATAGGACACAGGTGTCCTGCAGGGCTCAGCCGCCCTTCTCTCAAGACAGCCCTGGCAACTTTCCTAGAGGCAGGCACCAGAGGCCACTCACCCGAGGGTCTGAGTCATGCTCTGAGATCTGTTGGCATCTCGACCCCTTCCAGGGTTGCCCTCTTGTCCACAGATTCAGAAGATGCCCCGATCAGGCCCCTAGTGGCCAGTGTTTGAGAGGGAGGGGAGGTCTGGTGTGCCCACCCACCTACCCGGCCACTGGCACTCCCCCCCAGTGCCCAAGGACTTACAGAAAACCAGAAAGGCAGGCGGCAAGTGGGCCTGAAGGGGTTAACCATCCCTGCGTAGGGAGCCGGATGTCCAGTGCCACTGGTTTTGTCCCTTGCTCCACCAGCCAGCAGCCCAGTCCTGCCTCCCAGCTGTGGGGCCTGTGGGTTCCTGGCCTCTTTCCGGGGGTTGCCAGAATCAGGGCAATTAGTTCCAATTGTGAGGTGGCTTTCCTGATTCAATGCTTGCCCCTCAACGAAAGAAAAGAACGGCATGTGTTTGCTAATTCCATAGCAGAGAGCAGCTGTCAGATGCGGGAGGTTGGTTGCCATTCCACTCTTGCTAACTTTTGCTGCATTTTCTGCTTTCGTTGTCTGAGTTCTGAGGCAGGAGCTGGAAGGGAGACACAGCTGTCATACCTGGGTGGCAGGGAATTCAGGATGCTGAAGAGCAATTTTACCACGCAGCAGTTAACATTAAGACGAACTGTCCCCTTAATACATGGGAAAGTAGGAGCCAACAGCTCCAAGTTGACTCTTTTGAAGATCACATCTACCAATTCCTACCAAAACTCAAAGAAAAGAGCTGCACTCTACTGTCACTTCCTGATTTACGCTGAAAAAAATGGAATGTTAACCATTTATGAACGGACATTTACTGCTTTTTATTAAGTGTGCAAAGCAGAAAAATACTTCAGGACCTAAGACATGTTTTTCACACTGAAGCTTCTGTTTTCTATTGAGTGTTCAAATTATTTCTTTGGCTCTCAAACTTTGCCAAAGAGAGGGCTCCTATGTCTCTTCCAACTTCTGGTGGGATCCCCAAGTTTCCCCTGGAGAAAGCTGCTTTGCATGGAATGGGAAGTGACCCCACCTTAACAGAGATGAGGCACTAACACACGAAGGGCCTGACCTGTACCTCTGGCTAGGTGTGACCGCCTTGCTCTTCCTGCTCCTCCTCTGAGGTCACTTTTCACAACAGGTGACAGGTGTATGCTAAGTTAGAACAAACACGACATCCCATGAAAGGTGGGAGAAAGAGGCAAGAGACTCAGCTAAGGTCAGGGACAGGTGTAGCCCTGCCCAGGTGGCCCCTGGCCCTGAGCCCGGCCCCTCAGACCTGCCCACCTGGCTCCACCACAGGGGGTCATGGCCTAACTGCACTCTAAGTCTGACCCACTCTTAGAGCCCTTGCTTAAGTGCAGGGCAGAGAATGTGGTGCTGAGGATCTTACCACCTGTGCCAGGGATCACCATGGGAAAGCACAGAGCAGCGCCCTCATGGCGGAGGACAGGGTGGTGGGAGTGTCCCTGTGAGCTGAACTTAGCTCCCAGGCCCAGCTGGGGAGTGAAGTGCTCTGTAGCCCAGGATGGTGAGGTCATCGTCCACGTCAGCTCTGCTCCCTTCTCCCTGGGTTCACAAGGGACATGTGGCCRTGGGCAACACCCAGGATCCCTGCCTCCCTTTCCCCTCTGACTCTCTTTCCTGCCCTTTCTCACATCCATGTCCCCCTCTCCTTTCTGCCGGTGTCTCCTGTTACTGCTCACCGCCGTCCCCCGCCTCTCCTGCTCCCTGTCTACAGCAGCTCCTGGCTCAGGGCTCAGCCACACAGGACCAGGACACCCGCCCCTGGGGCTTCCTTCTCTTTTCCCAGGAGGGTCTTTACAGTAACATTGCTCTGCCACCGGCCTCTGAGGGCCTGTCTCAGATACCCAGCTGCGGACTTGCTGGCCACAGCTCTCTTATGCCCACTGTCTGCCCAGTGGGAGGAGACTTGCCTCCCTCACAGGGCACTGCTGATTAAAAAGCAAAAATTACATACATAAAAGGTGATCAAATGGMCTGTCCAAACGAGTTTAAGATGTCCCAAACTAGGGTGAGGACCTGCTCCTGCCCAAGAAGAATGCCCCATCTGTTGTCGTCAGCACGCCCTGATCAACAGTGGGCGTGAAGTGCGTGCAGAGGGACACTGACAMAGCCCCTCCAGGAGGTGGCTCTCGATGACGTCAGTGCTCACCCTCCTCAAACACTTGGGGGGCAGCCAGGCAGGAGGGGGCAGTGCACTTTTGTTTTCATGGGGACAGTCTGGGCCCCTGGGCAAAGCTGTGGGGAAGCCGATTTGGGCTCAACACAATGAAGAAGTTTCAGTAATTGAGGCAGTGCAGGGGAGGACATTGTAGAGAGAGGAGGTCCCCTCGTGGAGGCTGGAACAGGTTCCAGCAGCCCCTCCCTGGAGCCCTAGGCATGCACAGCCCTGGAAACAGGAACCTTACCTAGCCTGGCTGCTCTCTGTTCTCTAAAGCTGTGCTGAGCTACAGGTGTGAGAGTCTCCAGGCTCTCTCCCTGGGGCCCTGGGGAGCCCGAAGAGAAGGAGGATTTACTTGCCGCCCCACCCTGCCCCCCGGCTCTGGTACCTGGCAATTCCCTGTGGTTTTCTTAGTGTGTTGCTCTCAGCTCTGAAATCTGTCCCAAGTCATTTTTTCCTGATGACTTCCTGCAACACTGAATTTAAAGAGGGGTCATCTGCTCAGGGAAGGAGGGGATGAGTGACTGGGCGTGTGGTGTGGGCTGCCCAGTCAGTCGCTTGTGTCATAGCAAAGAGGCAGCTGGAGGAGACCGAGGCCAGGGAGGATGGCTGCTGGTGGTCAGAAGCTGTGAAGACCCTGTGGTGCATGGCCCAGGGGTCCTTTCCTGTACAAGYCCACACCTGGGGCCCCTGTGCATCCAGGATAGATGCAGCTGGGAGGGGTCATGGAGAGATGCGAAGGCTCACCCAGGGGCCTGACTCCCAGCCTCCTCCAGCGTTGGAGCCCCGTGGCCTTCAGGCCTCTCCGGCTCCAGGGTCCTGGAGTCTGGGCCCAGGGCCAACAAGCATGCTGGTTTGTGCCATCAGGCGGCCTTCCTGCCTCCACTGCTAGCCTGGGCTCCCTCCCCCTAGTGCCCTCCATTCCCCCTTCCTCCCAGCCTTCCCTCTCACTGGATTTCCTGCAAAGCCACAAGGTGTATGGGGACCTGGCTGCACACAGGTGTGACCAACCCTTTAAGTATCTTCAAAAGAAAGCAGGGGCAGTGCTTAGAACCCAAGGCGTGCTCATGATGAAAGTGCCACAAATCCCGCTGCAAGAATGTGAGGCCAGCATCAGTGACGGAAGGTCGCAGGTATTCAGGACACTGCCAAGGAACTTAAGAATCGGGAGAAATGTCCAGTTATCTGCAGTCAAGCACGGAGAAAACAACTGGCATTCAGGGAGGAATGTGGTCTTGTTTATACAGGACTGAAAGTGCATAGCTACTCTGACATCTGACGGTCACCAGCCCAAATACCTGGGGGGCGGGGGGAAGAGGCGGAGGAGCGCCTGGCTGGCCGGCTTCTGCCCTCTGTGCTCTGCATTCACCAAACATTGYTTTAGTTTTAGGGATATTGAACAATTCTTCCCCAAAAACTCTGCATTTGGTGGCCATCCTGTTCCTGGTCCTCAGCTTGTCCACTTCRCTGCTAAGTTCGGGCTTTACCTTCTACAACAGCATCAGCAACCCCTACCAGACGTTCCTGGGCCCGACAGGGGTGTACACCTGGAATGGACTTGGCGGTGAGTATCCCCAGAAGACTCTGCTCTCCATGGAAACCGCACCCTTCTAGTCTCCATCTCAGCCTCTCTCCCTCACACACATGGACACACAGGTCACACGGTGGTGACAGGAGTTAGTGTGTCCCTGGTCTGTGGTGGGGTACTTACAGCACCTCTGGATGTAGAATTCTGTTTCCAATGCTCTGGCAAATAGCAAGAAGGGAGGTGAAGAGAGGGTGTGACAATGGGCAACATGAGCCACCTTTGCTCTTGAGAATCTCACCTTGAGTCACATACAGCACACTTAAGTCAAGAGAGCACTCACTGAGCTCCTGCTGTGTGTCAACTCCAAACCAGGCTCCATGCGATGTGCAGAAGTATATGCATGCCAAAAATCCCATTGCGTATACACAAGCACATGTGCACACATGTATGTATATGTACACATGTACATAGGTGCACGTGTGCGCGTGTACACACACACACACACACACACACACACACACACACACGCTTATGTACTCCCCTCTGGCCTCCACTTAACCAGTCAACTTTGGCTCCTGAGATGACACATTTGTGTTGTTGTGCCACTGAGCCAACATGGTGTCATTTAGGAGCCTCTGGGCCACGCCCCCTTGCAGGCTACCTGAGTCCTGGGCTGCTGTGGTGTTGCCAGGAGGTTTGGTCTGCTTCATGGTCGGGTGTGGGAGGGAAGTGGGTCCTGGCTCTGCCTCATGGTATTTTGGACTCTTGCTGTGTTTTCTAGGGCATTGCAGCTGCCACAGCTGCCCGAAGCTGGGCCAGGGCCAGTGGAGGGTCTCTTTGTCCTGTCCCACCTTCCTCTGAGGCCTTGYCCCTGCCAGATAGCAGGTTCCTCTGCTACCTTCCTCTGTCCTCCAGCAGAACTGGGCTAGGGAGCAAAGGCCATCCTCCTGGGGGACCAAAGGGGGCTTYGGGGTGCATCTTGACATGGGCCAGAGACCCAAGCATAGGAAAGATGCTCTGGATATTGAGGTGTCTGGAAGCCTCAGAGGAGAACCCTGGGCAGCTTCCTCCTGTCCTTCTGTGGAAGGCCATCTTACCACTGCCTGGCATAGGTGGCTGGAAGGCGCTCATGTCTCCGTGCCTTGGCTACACCAGAAATGAGARGAGAGAAAAGCCCTTCCTGTGCAGGTTGGCATGACTGGCACACCTACCGAGGACACTGAAGTTCCCGCTGGAGGTCCCTGGACCAGGGGCCCAGACCACCAGTCAGCCCCAGCACAGTGCAGGTGGCAGGAAGAGGGGTAAAGCTTCTGGGGACTTCTAAGCAGTAAGCCAGGATGACAGGGGCTACCTGTCCAGGAAGACTAGGGCACGTGGTCACATGACAGGCTAGCCTCAGCTCCGAGCTCTCGGGTYAGGCTGGCCTGGCAACATCCATACACAACTGGCTCTTTCCTTCCGTGCTGTTGTTACCTAGGGGTCAAAACAAGCCCCCAGCTTCGTGGCGCACACTTGGGGCCAGGGACAGCAGCCTGCAGAATGGTCATCACTGTGGCCTCTCAGAGGGGGCTGAGCACCAAAGGGGAAAGGACTTGGTGCAAACCTAGACATACTCACCCGAAACCAGGTTCCAGCCCCAGCTGCTGCTGTGACTATAGCTCGCCTCCGCCAGCCGAGCCAGGCAAACCCCTGGGCCTCCTCACTGGGGAAAGGGAACGCACTTTTATTCCTCCTCAAGCAGCTGAGRATCTTAGGGAAACAGAGGCTTTGGCATGGCTGGGTTCGGGTCTCAGCCCGAGTCCTCAGAGTGCTGTCTGTCCCCTTTGCCCCCTCCGATTCCCAGCATTTGCTCAGTCCTGGCACAGCCAGCTCTGCTCTCGCAAGGGTCAGGTGGCTCTGGCAGCAGCACCTCACGAGGAAAGACCTACGGGTTCCCAATGGTCAAGAGGGTATCCTGGGCCCAGAGAGTATCCTAGGCCAGCCTCTGTAGCCAGCAGGGTTGAATTCACGTAAGTGTCCATCAACTGGCCAAGGACACCCGACTCTGGAGCTGGGGCCGGGATGGGCCCTTCTCCAGCCCCAGGGGCAYGTTGGGGAGGACCAGTGGGTTCCTGGAGGAGAAGCAGGAGTGGGTGCCCAGTGGAGATGCTGTGGCCACACTTGGGCGTCRCACTGTAGGCCTGGCAGCCTGCTTCCACAAGGCTGCAGCCCCTGGTGCCCTCGCCTCCTCAGCTGGGCACAAGCTGACTTTGCACATGTCAGAGGCCCCATGTGTGTTTGTAGAGGAAACATGGAAATAGGAGCAGAGAGCTTCCCCTCAGCCCCGCTCACTTCTTCTATCTCTAGAGACTCCACACACACACACAAACACACACACACACACGCACACACACACGCACACACACAGGCTGCGAGGTGGGTGGGAAGACAGTCTGAGATTGATGTGTAAGGAGCTGAAATGCATTCTGACAGGAGCTGGAGGAGACCTGGTCAGCTGTGGCTCTTCTAAATGCCCTGTGCAGACGTTGGGTCCCAATGCCTCCTAAGCCAGACTTTGCCCTCAGTTTGCCCTCTGGGGACTACTGACATTTTTTCCCCGCTTGCAGGATTGCAGAATTTAGCAATAAATCTCAGTTTGCAGGAGGCCGAGTCTGCAGGAGGGCCTGTGTACAGAGACTTCACCAGGCATCTTGGCCTTGGGTCGCTGTGGGCCCGAGTCAGTCACCTCTGTGCCCTGGGGCCAGARGGGAACACTGCAAACCCCTGGAGGCTGGGTTTGTGCACATTCTCCTGGGCTGGCCTATGGTGGCAGGGTCCAGCAGGGCAGAGGAGGAAGTGGGTTTCTTTCTTGTTTCTGATGGAGAGAAGCAGGAGTGCCATCTCCATGGTCTGGTGCCCTGTGACCCAAGACCCTCTCTGCAGCACACTAGCCTGGTGTGGCCGGGCACTGGCCACACAGGGAAGAACCGCACACTCAGAGAAGGTTGGAGCCAGAGACACTCACAGACTGGTTGCTTCAGATACATTTATGCCGTAACCAGGGAGCCCAGGAAGCAACTAAGCAGGTCATATGACCTAGGGTGACAGGCCAGGACAGAAGCCTGAGTCCCTGAGCCTTCAGGAGCTCGGCATCAACCCTGGGGCTTCCTCTAGCTCCAGTAAAATCTTCTGTCCCAGATAGTTGGAGATGCCAGGCAGCCGGAGGCTGCGGTGGAGCCCAGGACTCCCGGCATCTCACCTCCAGAGGGACTCGGGTCAGCCCTGAGTCGGTTGGCTGCTCCTCCTCTGCAGATCAAAGCTCTAGACAGGCATGGAGCATCCTCCCCTGCATGATTCAGCCCTCTGAGGAACTTCACAAGGGGGAAAATGAGGGGCAATTAAGGCAGGTGAGGCTGGGGAGCATCAGAGGACTGGGCTTTTGTTCACACAAATAATTAAGAAATAAAGCCATTGTTTGAGGATGAAGCCTGTCATCAGGGACTGTTAAAATGCTCCCCTCGCACAAACCTCTCTAATCAGGGCCTTTTGGAGACCATTTGGGACACCTCCCTGCATGTGGGGCACGCCAGGACGGGTCTGACGCCAGGTGTCCACTGCACTCTGCATGTTGCCTGGGTCAACAGATAGAGGATCCTGGGGATCCCCCTGGTGGCCACATCTCAGTCAGACCCTGYCTGGGCCAGGCTCCCCTGCCTTGCCACGGGCCTGAGAGTCTGCACCCTCCCCCTCYCTGCAAACCTTCTCAGCAGCAGCGTGGTTGAGAAACGAGTCACATGCGTGTCGTTTGCCCACCTTCAGCCCACCACTGGACAGGTTTCAGTATGTCCTCAGACGTGTGAGGCCACTGCTAAAGGGCTGCCTTTTGAGTCTTGAGTGGGTGTGGAAAGACGAGCTCTGAATCTCTCTGTGTGGCCACGCATCTCCACTGGACACCCACTCCTGCTTTACCACATCAACTTGAGACTCAAAAAGAAGCCCTTTGGCAGTGGCCTCCTGCCATCAGGAAGCAACCATGGGTCTGTATTTTTGTCCATCCTTCCTGGTTAAAGGCCAAAACCACTGAGTCGTGCGGAATGAAATTCAAGCCCTTGAGCCGGCTGAGGCTGTGCAGGGGCCCTGTGTCCACCCCCGTGCTCAGGACCCTGCTGACCTCTGCCATCTCAGTCCAAGTTGTGGGGCTCGCTGCCCACCTGTCGTTGCTGCTCCTGTCACCTGCCACGCTGCTCTTCCCTTAACCTTTCCCAGGCCTGTCCACCCTCCGGACCCCTCTAGACTCCTGCMCTACTCGCGCTGCATGCTGTCACCCATCTGCCGGTGCACTGGGCTTTCTTGCTGCATACGGGTCTGAGGAAGCACGTCACCTGGTAGACCAGGGGCAACTGCTACCGGAAGGACTGGAGCTGGAGTATCTGCTCCTGGGCAGACCCAGCCTGGCACACCCCCGGCACTTTGTGCCTAGAACCTAGTTTGTGTCTTATATTTAAAAAATATTCTCCCCCAATACTTGAAAGAGTGTAAACTCAATAAACACCCTTAGAGCGTGTGTGTCTAAATAAAATACAACACAGGGCTGGGGACGTGGCTCAGTGGTCAAGTGCCCTTGTGTCCAATCCCCGGTACCCCCTCCCCCCAAATGACAAAACAGGAGCGTGTCATCGTGTCATTAGGAGCTTTGTTCTCTTCCCAGCATGCTTCATTCTCCTGACCATGCTGCTGTTTGTGGGGAACACACAGTCCAACCGTCTCTCCGGGGAACTGCTGGAGAAGCTTTACCCAACAGTCACTAGTGGAGGAACGACCCACAGCTACGGGTACTCATTTTGGCTCATCCTGCTGGTCATTCTTCTCGATATCGTCACCGTGGTCATCATCATTTTCTACCAGAAGGCCAGATACCAGCAGAAGCAGGAGCAGAGAAAGCCCATGGAGTATGCTCCCAGAGACGGGATTTTATTCTGAGTTCTACTTGGGGTCACTTTGGCGTTGCGTCTGTTTGGTGGACGTCAGCTCCCCGAGCAGTGGCAGGCTAGCTTCTCTGGACCATCAGGATGGAAAGATGACTGCCATCTGTGATGACTTTTCTCTCCCCGGACACCGTGTTCTTCACAGAGACCATCGCCTGGGAAGGGGTGGGGAAGAGGAGTGGGGAGGCCATGTCTAGGCAGTGCTCACTGCTGCAGAGGGTCAGGAGCCGGTGGCCTTCCCACCATCTGAAACAGGAAAGGCCCCACACCTTCCCTCTGACTGGCCAGGAGCACTTTAGCACCTGTCACCTGCTGTCTGCAGGAGGGGGCAGGTGTTTTCATTCTGCTCTGAGAATAAAGACTTCCAGGTACAGAGAGATTCAGAGCTTGTCTTTCCACATCCAGGAGTGGGCGGTAAAAGGACTCAGGAGGAAATGACTTGGGTTTCTGGTTCCTCAGTCGCTGGGTTTAACCCAAACCCAGGGGTGAGTCGATAAGTGATCCTGAAACCTATTCTTGAGGTTCCAAGGTATGGTTTTGGGTGGGAAGAGATTAGAAGTGAAAGCATGGAAAAATAAAAATTATACCCTTATTCTTTTTGTTAAAAAGGATAAGTATTATAATTTTGGTTTAATGGGATCGTGGTAAATTCAGTCAAAATAGAAATGAAATATCTGGGCAAGTTATACTACCACCCCATGAACCAACCCTCTGCTTATTACTATGGGCAGACATAAGCGTGCTGGGCAGACGGGGGTACTGCCCATCAGCACTCTCCTGCCCAGCTGGAAGCCGAGGGAGAAGCAGGTCAGAGCCTGTGGCTTGCAGTTCCCTGGGCAAGGGACCAGGGTCCACCCGGAGCTCAGGGGCTGGGGAAACCCTCCAAGAGCAGGTGGGCGGAACTGGTTTGTMGTTTCCCAAGAAGACAGTTGGGCAACCAGGAATAGAGAACTCAGTCACCTACCTKCCAGTTAGGGTAACTTCCCAGAAAACCACCTGAGCCTGCCTATTCCCCAGGCTGGCCGGGTTGGCCGCCGACAGGGCTGTGAGCCTGGCTGCACCAGGGCTGAGGAGAGCAGGTTCGCGGCTCTCGACAGAGGCCCCACCCTTCTCCAAGCTCTCTGGGTGAACAGCCTCCTCTGATTATCTTCAGGGTCTGTCTCACAAACATGCCCTGGGCACCTGGGATGAGGCTGGCACTGGGCTAATCTGAGCGTCTGCCCTGTGGGGTCGCTGTCCAGCATTTAAGATGGAGGCCAAAAAGCCACGGCTCGATTTCACTTAAAATACGTCCTCAGTCACAATGTTGTGCTTGTTCTTTGAAACATCACTTCTCTCTAACCCCTACCCTAAAGTCCTACCAACTCAAAGTTACTCTAATCTGTTAACCGATGATAAATTTTGGAACATATTTTTAAAAATCTCTTTTTCAACTTAAAATGTTCTCAATTCCTCAGACCCAGAAGCATTTGAATTCCTCGAAGATTTGGGTTTTATATCAGGTTTTGATGACATAGGCAGGAGGTGAAGAGGAAAGAGTCACAGGTGACAAAGTCCTGCAAATGACCGCCCAGTAGGCAGGCCCTTGTGTCTCGTGCCCGTGCCTGCCCTGCTGGGCAGGGGAAAGTGCACTGCACTTACTAATCTCAGGACAGGAACAGAGCTTGGTCTCCTTGGGGAGAAATTGTCCTGATCCTCGAATTCCAGATGACCTTTGGAACCATTTAAACCCAGGAATAATGTGAATGGAACTCAGTCGTCAAAGGCTGGCCTCATGATAACTGAGGGTGCCGTAGCTCTCTAGGTCTAGTCCTTCTCCCGGCCCAGGATGAAGCAACCAGCTCCCAGCACCTGGACACAAGTGTGGGCTCCACTGTCTGCACCTGGCATCTCAGAGCCAGCTGTGAGAGCAAGGTCCTGCCCCCTGGCTTCTCCTGCTTATGACTGAAAACGAATAAGTAACAGGATGATCTTTGGGATTAAGTAGGAAGTCCTGAAATCATGCTGCCTGTGGTCTGCCATTGACTCAGAGAAGCCTCACTTGATTGGTCAGTGAGAGAGGACAGCGAGGGCAAGCCTAGCTTCCCGGCTATGGTGAGCCTGGGCCCTCGGGGCGTGTGCCCAGGTGGTTGGCAGCCCTCCTCTTCCTCACAGAGCTGCAAGTCTCTAGCTCAGGGTGAAAGGGTGAGGGTGGGCCCCTGCTGCACCCTTAGCTACTGCAAGTCACGTGAATTCTCTTGTTCTGGAGGAGACACGTAATCAATAGGCAACTGAAGCAGGGCGGTTAACAGGTTGCCAAGCACCCAAGGCAGGCAAGTGGCAGAGCAGGACCCCAAGCAAGGCCCTTCACCTGCACTGACCCAGGTCCACAAATGCTGTGTGCAGCAGACCAAGGGAAGGGCTGCGGTGTCACCAGGAATGGAACCATGAGAGGTTCCGCCCCCAGCACTCCCTGAACAGGACACRTGGCGTCCCCTGTGGGCCCCAAGGACCTCAGCCCAGTCATCCTACCCCATTTGGGGCTCCCATTCCTCCAGATCCAGGAGGCTCAGACTGATAAGGCAAAGGCACCCACTGGTTTCCAGTCAGGCTTCAGGTGGACTTGGCTGCTAACCAGAGCCGAGGGGCTCTCCCCACGGGCCTGCTGCTCCCTGAGAAAAGGACTTTGTCATTCTTAAAGCAGAAAGATAGGGCCCAGGTGACCGATGGGAGCTGGGGCACTGGCTTATCAAACCTGCCCTGGAGGGAGAACAGAGATGTGGGGCTGTCAGTGGAACTTGAAATGCCCTGCAGGCTGGCCCTGGAGGAGCTGGGGCTAGGCAGGAGCACCTGGCTCTGCCCCTGCTCCTTGGGGCTTCCTGCTTTGTGTCCTCCTGCTGCCCAAAGACGCTGAACAAGAATTACAGCATTGGTTAGCTTTAAAAMAAAGAGGATTTGTATCTGTATCTAACTTCAGGCTGTGAAAGTTTCATTTTCAAAATGCTTAATTGTTTAGTAAAAAAGAAAAACGGATGTAGAAGTGCATCACATTTCATAATCGTTCATTTTAAATAAGTTTCTTTGAAACAAGAGCAGCCCTCCTGTTTTAGATCCCTTCCTGCCAACAGAAGGGTAGACTTGTAACTTTTTTTTTGCATTTTATTATCATTATTATTATTATTAGATTTTATGGTTATACATAGTAGTTGGATAGACTTCTAAATTTTTAACCTTGGCCCTGGTAGAAAGACCATTCCCCTGGCTCTCTGGAAGCTCACCCACTCCAACCAAACACGGAGTCCCTGTCCATCAGTGTTCTTACAGGGGACACGTGGCTGGGGCCAAAATCCTGACAGGCCCTGGGTGTGTCTGAGAAGGCTATCAAAGACTGGAGTTCAGGTCCAACAGAGGACTTTGGCCCCCATCAGTCACCTCCAAGCACATGCTATTTTGAGGGACTACGTGTGCTGGATTCTTGCAGGTAAACATTCACCCTTTGATTAAAAACATAACCAGTTGCACTAGACCCTGAAAACTGCATATTCTCTTCCCTGGCTTCCTAAGTGGTYCGGGGATTTAAAATGGTCCGCCCTCTTTCTGAGGACCGCATTACAATCCAACCAGGAATCACTATCTGGTGGCTGTTGGTGTAGAGAAGAGAGTGTGCACTGTCAAGAGACCGAAGCCCAGTGACAATCAGGGGAAGAAATGTTCTTGGACCACTTGCTGCATGTGAGACAGAGAGGCAGGGGCCAGGGTCACAGCAGTGTGCGTCATTGACACAGGGCTCATGGAGCAGCTGGTCAGAAGATGCTGAATCCACACAGCAAGGTCATGTGGCAGTAGATTCCCAGGAGCTGCAGGGATCTCCAAGGAAATCTAGACCACTGGGGACAACTTCCTGGAGACAGAGGTGACCTGAGCTCTACCACAGACTCTGTGACCTAGGCAAGGCCTGAAACCAACCTTAGAAATGATCCAAAATAACCACTCGTCACACAGAAGTAGAGGAAACCCATAATTACCTTCATCTATTTCCTMACTTGAAAAATAAAACCAATAAAAGGGTCAGAGATTTAGGAAACTCAAAAGTTTTCTTTCTTTTTAATTTCATTGAGTTTGTTTTTAAGAAACACTTACATAAACACCAGATGTGACAGTCAGTTTCCAAACACACAGGTGTAGGGAGTCAATGTCTTCTAGGAGCTGCTACTTCATGACTGACACCACAGGCCTGTGACATGGACGTGCCTGGTGTGTCACGGTGTGGAAACGTGCCTTTCCATGTTACCTAACAGAATCCAGTTGGCGAGTGAGTGCAGATGGTCATGGGGGCCTTTCAATAGGATGTGAAAAATCCATTCCCCGATGCAGAACAGGAGTCCTTTAATAAGGAGCTCTTGGTTTCCAGACTTCTCCTGTGTCCTTCACTTACTCAAGTCCTAATCCCCCTTGGCAGTGTATTTGGAGATGGGCAAACTAGGTTAAATGAAGTCATGAGTGTGGCTCCAACACAGCGGGGCCAGTGTCATGGTATGGAGAGACACCAGAGGCCTGGTGTCACAAAGGAAAGGCCACAGGTGGGCGGAGTGGGAAGCAGCCACCTGCAAGCCAGAGAGAAGCTCCAGAAAAACCATCCTGCCATCACCTTGATCTTGGACTCTGAGCCTTCAGAACAGTGAGAAGACGAGTGCTGTTCAGGTCTCCACTCTGTGCATTTGCCAGTGGTGATCCTGATGGACCAACACACCCGCGGGCACTCCGGCAGCCGCTCCGGATCTGGGCTCTCCCAGGCTCTGTGCTGAGAATCCCAACACTCCCTGTGGTACACGCAGACTCTCTACAAATTTTATGGCTGTATTCCGATGCAGGGCAACTGGTGCCAACCAGGCAACAAACACTACCTCCAGGGTCCTGTTCCTCCCCTGTAGAGCTGTCCAGCTTAAGGCTGCTGTGAAGACCCTGCAGTCATGAACTTGCTCAGCCAAATAAAACCTCCTAGAGAATGGTGACCAC